TCACAACGAAACAGCGTCACACACGGCGGCCTAGAGTGAGCAGAGACAGGGGGATAGAGTGAGGAATGGCCGGAGGGCTTGAGTGAGCGGCGGCCGGCGGATTCGACGAAGGAGATCCACAGCGCGAAGTTGTTGTATTTCCTCAGCAACCAGCACGGATCAGCTCCAGGCATGACGAAGGGATATCGTCCTCTTTTGGAAGACCAAACAAAGTAGTTTCACTTTCACAACGAAGCACACAGCGCCTTCACGAGGGGGCGTATTAGAACGAGCCGTTTTAGGTAGGCGTGGTTGACTCTTAACTTTTATAAAGAATATCTCTTTGGATTTGACACTTAAACAAAATTTGAGAACTCTTGAGTAGTTAAGCTTTCCTTCAGGTACACTGTGTCTCTTGGTTCTATTAATACTTTCCATCCATGTCACCTGTAGAGCTGATCCTCTTACCCAATCAAGCCCACACACTGCGAGCGAGTTTCCAGACACAAAGAAAAGTCGTTTTTCTATTTATTAAAAGGTTTCTCAAATACAGTAGTCAGTGGTCGGCTAACGATCGGCTAAACCTCAAGGATTACTCTGATAAAACAAAGGCAGATCCCAGTGTTTATCTACAGATCTGGTGCTTTCTTAGGGAAGGCGTGTGTTTTTCCCAGTGCGTTCAGAGTGCTATGATGTCTGCCCTCTCTGTGACCCAGGCTTTGTGCTTCAGCTGTGATTATTAGCTGGTTTATCTGTCTTGGGCCGTGTGAGAATGTGATCCTTCGATGAGAATGTGACCTTTATTGCTCATATGGAAGACAGCCGTCAGACTATTTTAGCTGATATGAGCACGCTGCCCGGATACACAGGGGCCAGGATATCAGGCTGCTGGGCACTCCGTACAGATGGAGGGTAAGTTATTAAATGCACTGTTTAGTATTTAAAAGGTTAATTAAATGCCGCTTTATCCACTCGTTTGAGTATAATCTGAACAGAGTGACATATGCAATTAAAGAGTAAATCATTCAAATGGCTTAAAGTGCTGCAGCTGCTGTTTCCTCTAAACTTTTCGCTTTAGTTTATCGGGTTTATAGTCTAGATTTTGAGTCTGCTTTTTTATTTCAGGGACCTATACATTTTTAAGACGTTATGTCTTTTGGCTATTACCATAATATTAGCAGCACCTTTCTCGTTTGCTCTGTGTTGTTGAGCTGTTTTGAATGTGCTGTGACTGGTGGCCTGATTTAGTCACTCACTCATGTTAATACAAAGACAGTGAGAGACAGACGGGTTGTGTATGACACTAACGTGATGCAGGGGAAAAGATCTCTTGGCTGCTGTTTTAAACCTCTTAAATGATTTCAGTTGGATTTTAATGATTGAAAGCTTGTTCGTTTCAGTTTTAGGTTGAATCAGTTGATCATGTACAAGAGAATAGCTTAAACATTCATTCACACACACGCCCACCATTGTTATTTTAATAATATTTGCTGTATATACTATTATAGTGTTTCTACATTTGTATTAATTTTTAAAGTTTTAGTAATTTGCCTTGTCATTTATGTGCTTCGTCATTTATATTGGATTTTGTTTTTATATTTAGCTTTCATTTAGTTTTATTTTGGTTTTAGTTGTATTCATTTTAGTACTTAACGTATTTCATTTAATTTGTGAAGGCAACATTTCTAATATGTGTAATATTCAATTTTATTTCAGCCTTATTTCAGTTAATAACAAAGATTGGTAAGACTTTACTTAAAGCCTTTATGTATAATGCATTATAAAAATAGTTTTAATGCATTAATTATGCCTTGTAATGCACCTTATAATGCATTGTACAATGTCATGAATAATTGTAACCACAGTTAATATACATTATAACACTTATAAATTCTTTGTTACACTATGCATTTTAAATTTGGTTATAATTTTTTACGACAAGATATAATGTATTGCAAAGCGTATTATGAGTAATTATAATGCATTTTACCCTTTAATGACACTTTATAATGCATTATACATAAAGGCTTTCAGTAAAGTGTTTCCAAAAAGATTTTTAATAGTTTTGGTTTTACTTTTTGTTAAGCATATCAATGACACCTGCTACTCACTGCCAGTTCATTTTGTAAGGCATTAACAATTGCATTTGTCATTTATATCCTATAAACATCAAATAAGTTATCAAATATATGTTCATAATTATAATAAACTAGACAAAAAGAACACTAAATAATTACTTTGTTTCTTGCACTTTGGATTTTGATAAAAGCAACTCATTTAGTTCTGTGGTACATGCTTTGTTGCTGATTTTTTAGTTTGTTTTAGTATTTGTTTTGCATGAAACGTTATGGAAAAAAAGTCAAGTGTGTAATTTACGTAGCACTAGTGGCACCAAAAAGAACAGCAAAAATAACTGTTGTCGGTAAGGTTTCCCAGACACTCCACCTGTATTTCATTGGTTGGACATGCAGATTGCCCCACCCCAAATGCATCTCATTGGTGGAGCTGCTGTTGCTATGTTGGGTGGGTCAGACAGAGAACTGGGGCACGTTCAAGCTCAAACCGGTGTGCACCGTTTTGCGACGGTTTCCGGTTTGAATGACATGTTTCCTGGAAACGGTGTGCAACGGGGTTTGAGATGCGGTTTCTCTTGTTTGGTGGGTGTGTCAAACATGTCAGCCCAATCAGCAGCAACATGTATATAAACCACGCGGTATTAAAGAGACAGCTCGCACAATGTAATTAACATCCAAATAAATTCACAAGAGCAAGTATATTGTTTGCACATGTTTATTTACATTAAAGGCAAAATAACTGAAATAATAAGGGCAAGTATAGATCTGGAACTTCTTTAAGTCTGTCTAAATATCATTTGGTAATTGCAATGTCTTCTATTGTGTGCTAAATACTGATTAATGTTACATAAAAATACTGTACATATTTATATATTTTGCTATTGTATTATGGAGTGACACTTTCATAAACTTTTCTATACCCCTCTGATTATATAATGGTAAATATTACAATATCATAGCACAACAACAGTGATCAGCAATAATGATAAGCCTAATACTCACAATAAAAATAATAAGGTCATATAGATCATAACACAGTCTTGGAGGTAAGAAGTGGATTATCCTTCACCTGAAATGTTTGTCTTTTCATCCTGAAATGCGAGGCAAATGTTGGATCACAATAATTAGGAACCACAGTTTCCACAAATCCCTTCATTTGATTGGGATGTTCTCTTTTATTCTCTAGGACAAGGGCAGTGACTGTACCATCGAGCGTATTTTTTGCAGTATTAAACACGTATTTGTACCGATTTCATCAGGCTCCGAAAATTCTTCAAAAATAACACAAATAATGGCCTTCTCAGCTGCCATAGTTGCAACTCTTGCGTCATTAGAACAGGGTGTTCAACGCATCACTGTTTCCGTTTAAAAAACGTTTTGCACCGTTTTTGTCGGGCTGAACGCAGCCCTGATTTGATAGAAACGGTGTTCACACTTTTTGGGAAAATCAACTTACATGTGTCTTGGTAACACTTTACAATAAGGTACCATTATTTAATGTTAACTAACTGCATCAACTAACAATGAGTAATACATTTAGCTCAGGTCCATTAAATAATATTAACAGATACAACATTTGATTTGAATAGTGTATTTAAATATATTGAAATTAAGATGAACCAAGATTAGTAAAAACTTAAACTAAACTAAGATTAAAACAGTTCTCTTTTTTGTTCCAGTGGAAGTGGTGAAGACTCTCTGGACAGACTCCTCCTTGCGGTCAGCACCTCTCACAGGAAAAGCAGCACTCTGGGTAAAACAGAACCTCCACTGCTCCGCACCGGCACACGTACCATCTACACAGCCGGCAGACCGCCCTGGTACAATGAACATGGAGCCCAGTTTAAAGAGGCCTTTGTTATTGGTCGATAACGAGTCGATGGAAACATACTGAATTCATGCTGAACAGAAAAATATTTACTACACAGAGGTATCACAATAGCCGTAGATCACTGACAAGCTACACAAAATCATGTTCAAAATCGCAGGCGATTCATTGCCGATTTTGAATGCGATTTTGTGTAGCTTGTCAGTGATCTAGGCTCTGTGTAGTAAATGCCACTACATCTGAACGCACATGCTGGAGATTTACTACTAATCACAGAACCGGCTTTACTTACGAGATGAGCATGAAAATCGCATCCGATTTTTTGCACAGCCCTAGAATGAAGTAATCCTGTTATTACAGGTCTGTGTGGTGGCAGTGCCTCTGGAAAAACTACTGTAGCCAATAAAATCATTGAAGCTTTGGATGTTCCTTGGGTGGTTTTGCTGTCTATGGACTCATTCTATAAGGTGAGATGTTTGTGAGTGTTTGTATCGAGTGTGAGATCTGAATGAGTGATTGGTCCACCGTGTGAAGTTAACCTGTTAAGTCAAGTGCTTCTGAAAATCTTTGTAATCCTTCTCCTTCTTTCTTCATCTCTTTTGATGTTTGTACCAACACGTAACCACACAAACAAACTTTTGATAATACTCATAATGTGTATCATGTGTATCTTTAAATAGTATTAATGGTTGTGCTATGAAGAACCAGTCAGAAACTACACTTCTGTATTTGTGCTGATCTACTAAAAAGAACTGGATCTTAAGATCTTGAGTTTGTTAGGAATCGGACTGCCTTAGCTCTATACTGGATGGTTTTGAGTCCCCACAAAGAATCTAAGACTCATTAATTCAGGATTCTGGCTAAACTGGTTGTGCTGTATGTTTTTTATTCACTAAAAGTAACTGGCTCTTTAGAGTACAGTAAACAGTCTGTTTACAGTAAACAGTCCTCCATAAAATGTGCTGCACACATCTGGATATTTGGGTTAAACTGTTCTGGAACAAAAATTGAAATCGCATCATATGACCCCTTTAATTTTATGTAGCTCTTAACATGTTTTCGCTAATCCTAATATATTACCAACAGCCCCAGATGCCATGGTTTATGTGATCAGAATATAATAGCATCCCTTGCATTGCTGTTAAAGCACATATGGTGGTAGGGCAGGATCGTGATCTTTCCCGTGTCTGTGTCGCCCTCCACCAGTGATCAAACATGCAACCTTTGTTACCCATCTGCAGGTTCTGTCTCCAGAGGAACAAGCTCTGGCTGTCCGTAACGACTATAACTTTGACCATCCTGGAGCTTTCGACTTTGAGCTGCTTGTGACCACGCTGCGGAAACTTAAACAGGGAAAAAGTGTAAAAATCCCAGTCTATGATTTCACTACACATGGATGCCAGAAAGACTGGGTGAGTGTGTGTGGCAGATGTTTCACATATTTTCCAGAAGTATATTAAAAATATATACCACAGAAACAGTCATAATTTATAATAGTGATGGCTTGGAAAAGATTTCAGTTTGTTTGATGGTCTTTGCGTTTTCATTTCATACTCTTTCAGAAAAATGTTTATGGTGCCAGTGTCATTATCTTTGAAGGCATCTTGTCCTTTGCAGACAAAGAGCTCTTGCAGGTATGATCAGATGTTTCGGTTTAGTAAATACAGATAAAAATTCAAAGCAAAGAAAGTGATAAAAATATTTTGGTGATGAAGTAAGGGAGATGTTGAAGGACCATTATCACAAATCCATCTTAATAACATTGCATGAAATCAAAATTTGTCTTTTGTGGCTTTTAGCCCATATCGAATAGAATAGGAATAGGATCTATATGCTAATGTGCTCCTAGAAGTTGACAAAATCAGTGCATTTAAAGTACAGTTTTTCCATTTAGTTTATATTGATTACTAAAGTAATTACTAATATTGATTACTTAATTTTTGATCTTGGTTTGAGTGTAAAAATATCTCCGTCACTATATCCTACAGCTGAAAGCATAATATTTGTGACCCTGGACCACAAAACCAGTCATAAGGGTCAATTTTTCGAAAATGTCTGAAAGCTGAATAAATAAGCTTTCCATTGATGTATGGTTTGTTAGGATAGGACAATATTTGGCCGAGATACAGCTATTTGAAAATCTGGAATCTAAGGGTGCAAAAAAATCTAAATATTGAGAAAATCGCCTTTAAAGTTGTCCAAATGAAGTTCTTAGCAATGCATATTACTAATCAAAAATTAAGTTTTAATATATTTACAGTAGGAAATTTACAAAATATCTTCATGGAACATGATCTTTACTTAATATCCTAATGATTTTTGGCATAAAAGAAAAATCTATAATTTTGACTCCTATAATGTATTTTTGGCTATTACTACAAATATACCCCAGCGACTTAAGACTGGTTTTGTGGTCCAGGGTCACGTTTCTTCTTCTTTTTTTGCAGCTGATGGACATGAAGATTTTTGTTGATACAGATTCAGATATCCGGCTGGTATGGCGGCTGAGGAGGGACATCACAGAGAGAGGCCGGGACATTGAGGGGGTCATTAAACAATATAACAAATTTGTAAAACCAGCCTTCGAGGAGTACATCGAACCCACCATGAGACTTGCAGACATTGTAGTGCCACGTGGTGAGTTCAACACACATGCATTGGTGCAGTGAATAATTGCAGTTTGCAGATGTTACCATTATTTATTTCTCTCCTTCACACACAGGTGGAGGTAACATGGTGGCCATTGACCTGATTGTTCAGCATGTTCACAGCCAGCTAGAAAAGGTGAGTGAAAAAGGACATTATGATAGTGTCCTGTGAACTAATCTTATCCATTCTTCCAGACCAGGAGAAGTTATTTGCTTATTTTTTGTGGTCACATTGGTAGTCTGCCCTAGACAAGACAGGTCAAATGAAAAAAAAAACTTAAAAACCTCTTTTTAACAGCTTAGTTCATTATGTAAACCTGAGATGGGTTTTTTTCTCCCAGTATCATCTCCAAAATTTTAGGGGAATGTGGCATCAGGGTTGCCAGGTCACCAAAACAAACTAGCTCATTGACCAATCAAAAATAGCCCAATAGCTCTTTTCCAATTTTCAAAACTCAAAATATGCCACTCCCATACCTAAAATAAATATTTTACAGTCACTGTTATGTGTTATACACAATTTCAACTTAAAAAATCACTTTATAGTTGTAATCATAAACTGTTTGTTTTCATAAAGGAGCTCAAAATGCCTTGCCTCACAAAACTCATTTAGCACTTTATCAATGTTAGAATATACAATAGGTAAAATATTACAAAACCAGCATTCCAGTCAAATACAATTTATTAAACATGCCAAACTCTGTATGGCATGTTGAATAGACTTAAAGATTCTTCTTCAGCTTCAGCTTTCTTCACATTTCCACACAAAACAAACGCAAACGGCGCCCTCTGCCTGTAAATTTAGGAAAAATTAGGTAAACAATTGTCCTCCTGGTACAAGACAGATGACTTCTCTCACACTCTCAGCCTCATTCTTTCTCTTTCATTGTTTTTCACTGATCTTTCACCTCTGTTCTATTGCATGCATTCTCTCGGCAGCGTGAGATTAGTGTCAGGTTGAGAAGTTTTCCTCTTTCTCACACACACCCTCATACATAAACACACATTTACGGTCTGTAAAAAAATTAGTTTTTAAAATATAGAAATATTCTCTGGAGTAAAAAGCATCACAACTAGCCCTCACCCAGCTATAGCACTATAACCCATAACTATGTTTTCAAATGTAGGCCCACTGCCCACATGGATCCCTTTAGTGACAGTGTTAGAAATGTCATTGACTGGTGTACAAGCGGCTTTCATTTGTATTTGAATCGTCTTTTTCTTTTTGACGGTGCGGATTTACCTTATGTCTCTGCTCTTTCATATGCACACACACACACACACAGGGCGCTCCTGACCATGGCCCATCAGTCTCAGCCACTTCCTCAGACTCTCAGTGTGTTGGAAAGCACACCACAGGTCCGCGGTCTCCACACCATCATCAGGTGAGTGTCATATGAATCAGTTCTCTGAAGCACATCAAAAGAAATCCTACTTTTTAAATGTTAATGCTCATTGTTGAAATGTGTTTTGGAATCCATTCATCTGTTCCGTCTGCCATTCAGAATTCCTCACATGTGTGAATCAGGCTAATGACTCACTGGCCTGCTTTACCCTATTCTCTGCGTCTTTTATGTACTCCTCCTCAATTTTTCTGTTTGTTTTTAGGAACAAAGACACCAGCCGTGACGAGTTCATCTTCTACTCAAGGAGACTGATGCGGTTGCTTATTGAACATACGCTGTCTTTCTTGCCCTCCAAGGTGTGTGGGTGTTTTTCTGTGTGTATGTGTGCCACTCAGTGTCTTTTTTTGCCAAAGTTTGATATTATTGTGCGATCAAACCTGAATTTGAGATTTAAACTATAACTAAGGCTTAAGTAAAATTTTAATGGAATGAATTACATGAGCTGTCGGTTACTAATCAAATAAATCGCTAATAATCACACATATAGCAATGAAAATAAGTATATATGCCAGTTAATTAATCAAATGAGGAACAATTAGTCACACATATATGAATAAAATGTAATTTGAATTAATTACATTAAATGGCAGTTAATTAATCAAATTAATTTCTAATAATCACATATATCAATAAAAACTTGAATTGAATTAATTATGCCTGTTGATTAATCAAACGAATAGCAACAATTACACAGACTACAGTATGCAACTACACATTTTTAATTAATCAAACTAATTGCAATGAATAACACTTATATGATTATAAAATTTAATGGAATCAATTACAGTAAATGCCAGCTAATTAATCAGCATACAAGTCAGTTGGCACATTTAATCGCCTTATTTTTCATTATTTATAATTAATCATAGTAAATTTGCCTGTTACTTTGAAAGTACTTTTTAAAATAAATATTATAAATAAATGGTTCACTGTAAGTATTAATGTAAATATGACTGCCTTAATATAAATATTTTGATGACCTTTTGTCATCCCTTTTAAGGAATACAGAGTGAAGCATTTTCTTCTCAGCTTTACTGTATGTATCATCACACAAATATCCATCCTTTTTACAGGCCTGTTTCGTCCAGACACTACAAGGCCAAGAGTATGAGAGTCGCAGATTTAGTGGCAAAGGGGTAAATTTGTGTGTCTGTTCATTTTCAGTATTTAAAGATTCATTTCCACTATTAGGAATATTTTTCATCAAGTATTTGATTGAAATCATATTGGTTTTGAAGCAGCACCTGTCCTTCTGTCACCTAGATCACAGGTGTGTCCGTTCTTCGGGCCGGGGAGACCATGGAACCTGCTCTGAGAGCCGTGTGCAAAGACGTCCGTATTGGCAAGATTCTGATCCAGACTAATCTAGATTCAGGAGAACCAGAGGTAACACAGGCCTCAAATCACTGCACACAATATCAGTAACAGATTGAAAATGCAATGAAGCCTTCTTGCTTGTCTTAGCTACTGTAAGAAAGATCTTACTACTAAATCCCAGTTTGACTAATTCTAGCAACTTTCTAGATAAAAAAAAAATGTATCTGTTATTTTCTCGGCTCTTCTCAAACCCTATATGTCCGTTTTGCCTGTTGGTCTCTGTCTCCATGGTAACAGAGATCTCCTGACTCCTCAGTTTCATTTTTTTTGGTGGCTGTGGTTCCCTTTTTCCTCACTTCGTTTCCGTGGTAACTAAGACTCCCCCCCTCCATTTAGCTGCACTACCTGCGACTGCCCAGAGACATCAGTGAGGACCATGTGATATTGATGGACAGCACCGTTTCCACAGGAGCGGCAGCCATGATGGCAGTGAGAGTGTTGCTGGTATGTGGCTATCGACCTCGTTCATTCCACAGTGTACAAACAAACAGTACAAACCCTGAATGGCTGTACCTAATAAAGTAATTAGGTGCCACAATTCATTGTGAAAATGATACATTTGTTGAATGTGAGTGTATGTATATGTATATACAGGACCATGACGTCCAGGAAGACAAGGTTGTGTTGGTGTCTCTGCTGATGGCGGAGTTGGGTGTTCACTCAGTGGCTTACGCCTTCCCTCGTGTCAAAATCATCACCACTGCTGTGGACAAGAGTCTAGATGACCTCCTTCATGTCATTCCAGGCATAGGTGAGTTTTTCTGACATAGATAAACTACCATTCAAAAATTTGTGGCCAGTAAGTTTTAGGGGTTTTTTTAAATAAAGAATTGAATACTTTTATTCAGCAAGGATATAAAAATGGAAATAAATACATTCACAATTTATTGTAAATTTCAAATAAATTTGGTTCTTTTGAACTGTTTTCAACATTGATAATAAAAAGAAATGTTTATTGAGCAGCAAATTAGATTCATTTCTGAAGGATCACGTGACATTGAAGAAAATTCAGCTTTGTTATTACAGAGATAACTTACATTTTAAAATATATTAAATAGAAACTGTTATTTTAAATGGTAATAATATTCCACAGTATTTTTGTTTTACTGTGTTTTTGATCAAATAAATTCAGCATGTGTAAGCATAAGATATGTCTTTCAAAAACATTTACAACATTTACATTCGTTAACACAAACGAACAATGAAAAATACTTCTAAAGTCTTTATTAATCTTAATTAATAATGCTATGTTAAAGGGTTAGTTCACCCAAAAATGAAAATTCTGTCATTAATTACTCACCCTCATGTCGTTCCAAACACGTAAGACCTTCGTTAATCTTCGGAACACAAATTAAGATATTTTTAATGAAATCCTACAGCTTTCTGACCCTCTGTAGACAGCAACGCAACTACCACATTCAAGGTCCAGAAACGTAGAAAGCACGCACATACGTCGTGGTATTCTCCAAAATGGCGCTAGGGTGACACGAAGGAGAAGAATTTTTGAATAAAGTTATTTTAGTTTTTTTGCGCACAAAAAGTATTTTTTAAGCTTCATAAAATTTTTGAACCACTGATTTCACATGGACTATTTTGTCGATGTTCTTGGTACATTTCTGGACCTTAATCGTGGTAGGACCCTTGCTGTCTATGGAGGGTCAGAAAGCTCTCGGATTTCATTAAAAATATCTTAATTTGTGTTCCGAAGATGAATGAAGGTCTTACGGGTTTGGAACGACATGAGGGTGAGTAATTAATGACAGAATTTTCATTTTTGAGTGAACTATCCCTTAAATTTCAGCATTTACTAATACATTATTAAAAGTTATATATGTTCATATTTAATGGACTCATATATTTAATGAGTTAATATAAACTAACAATTAACAGTTGTATTTTATTAACTAATGTTAACAAAGATTAATAAATATGTAATCAAATGTATTGCTCATTGTTAGTTAATGTTAGTAAATGCATAAACTAATGTTAACTAATAGGACCTTATTGTCAAATACCAAAACGTCTTACTGACCCTAAATCTTTAAATGGTAGTGTATATAAATATAAGAAAGAAACAAACCCTACACTATGTACTGAAATCTTGTGGGTGTGTATTTGCTGTCATTGAAGGAGACTTTGGTGATCGTTACTTTGGGACAGATGGGTCTTCATCATGGAGTGATGAAGAGCAGCAAGAACCACATAGCTGCTCATCAGAGGTTTGACCCGTTGTTCAAGCAATTCAGGCAGCTGTGAATTGCGAGGATCAACACTTACTGTAATTTCATTAAACCAGCCAGGAACAAAAATAAATTAGCTAGCACACTCATGGAGGTGCAGTATTTTGCAGCACTTCATTTTATGACCGTATGTTTGTGATAGGATCTAAAACAGTAAACTGTTTTAGCAGTAAACATATAAGTTACATTTGATATTTTATCCTGGAGTATGGTTTGTTCCTTAAACACTATAGTTCAAAACGTTCTTGAGGCAGCTCGGAGAGAGCAGGTTGGAGGAGTTTTTTTCCCCACATGTACTGCTGCAGCATTAACACCAGGGGGCAGTACTTCACTCCTCCTATCTCATTGTGATTTTGCAGGTTCAGTAAGGACATTTAAAATCCAACTATGGAACTCAAATGCATTTGGGGAAAATGTGTTGTTCACTCAAGAGTTTAAAGACAATTGAGCTAAAATGTTTCTACAATCTTAATAAAACATCAGAAGAAGACCTTGACCTAGCCATGACCTTAGTAGCTAAATAGAATAGTGACTAGAGTAAACTTGAGGTGTTTTTGTTGAGAAACCCTGAGAGGAAACAATTGCACATATACTAGATACCTCTGGGTGAAGTTGAAGGGGTCTTCACTAAGAGGAACTGAAAACATTTCTATTGCAATGGAATAATGAACGATCAAGTACAGGAAAATTGTAGAGATAGTTAGAAGTTATTTTTTTGTTAAGTTGTTACAAGGAAAAAGCCATAGAAGGTTAGAAAAGATAGATGTGACATCTGTTTCAACAAAATGGAGGAAACTTGGCATAAACAAGTCCTTTTAAAGCTCAGACTGTTTTACCAAATTAGGCAACTGGAAACAAAGGGCAGCTGTCAAAGAATTAACCTTGAATGTTTGGCTGAAATTAACCAGACATCATCAATCTCTTAATTTAACATTTTACAGATATGACTTATTTAGCTTGATGGAGGAGACATTTTTAAAGGCCAGAATCTGACCAGGGACAAAAAATATACATATATATTTTCCAGTAAACCCACAGCTATGAAGTAGTTCCAGGTCTGTCGACTGCACAACAGTTCAGTATCACTTCGCTAAACTATTTCATCTATTATCTATTAACTATTTATTGTGGTAATTTGCAGTTCATGTCAAAATGTTGTTGGTAGATAGCTGTATTCTGTAGGTTTGACTCGTGTACGATAATTTTCGGACAAATATGATAAGTTTTGATAATTCACACGATCGTTTAAAGGGTTAGTTCACCTAAAAATGAAAATTAGCCCATTATTTACTCACCCTCAAGCCATCCTAGGTGTATATGACTTTCTTCTTTCAGACGAATTCAGTTGGAGTTAAATTAAAAATTGTCCTTGCTCTTCCAAGCTTTATAATGGCAGTGAATGGGTGATTTTTGTCAACAGTCCAAAAGAAGCCAAATAAAGCGCATCCATCCATAATAAAACGTGCCTCATATGGCTTCGGGGGTGAATAAAGGCCTCCTGTAGTAAATCGATGCGTTTTTGTAACAAAAATATCCATATTTAAAACGTTATAAACACTTTTCTGTCACTGCCAGTAACTGTCATATGCGCATTCACAATTGAACGCAGTTCCATCGGTTGGCGTAAGACGTATGCGTCGCGCATGCGCCAGTGAGAGATGACGAACAGAGAAGCACACAGGAGAGCACAAAACAAAACGCCAGTCACAAATTAGAAGCACAAAATGAGGATCTGTAAAGAAAAATGTCGGAGGATTTCGATATAAGCCAAGAGGAGACCAAGAAAGGAATCTTTGCTTCCTTTGCTCCTGTAAACAAACATTGGTTCTCACAAGACTAGCATGCTCACACCAGCACATACGCTACGCATACGTCCTACGTCGGCTTCCGTGTACGACAGTTACCGGAAGTAAAAGAAAACTGTTTATAACGTTTTAAATATGTATATTTTTCTTACAAAACTGCACTGATTCGCTACAGGAGGCCTTTATTCACCCCCCGGAGCCGTGTGAGGCACGTTTTATTATGGATGGATGCGCTTTATTTGGCTTCTTTTGGACTGTTGACAAAAATCACCTATTCACTGACATTATAAAGCTTGAAAGAGCCAGGACGTTTTTTAGTTTAACTCCAATTGGATTCGTCTGATTCTGAAAGAAGAAAGTCATATACACCTAGGATGGCTTGAGGGTGAGTAAATGATGGGCTAATTTTCATTTTTGGGTGAACTAAAATGAACAAAAACCTGACTTGTTTTTTAATAATTCAGTGGCATGTCGACAAATAATTTCCTGATATATTTGTAAATATCTGGCATAATATAAGTTACAATGCCTTTTTTATGGTTTAATGTTAAAGACAAACAGCACTTGATTCTTATTGATGGGGCTCTGGGAGTACATAAGACAAAAAAGTTTGGAAAATGTAACCTCTTCTCCACATTTTGAAATGGCAGAACAATACATAGTATGTGAAAATAACCTAATGTACCATTCCCCAAAAAATGTAATAATGTGAATACTTTTTTTCAGGCACTGTACAAAGCTGACATTGCAGACTCCTATAGAGACTGCGTTGCACTCTCACTAGGTTGCTACAACATGCAGACCCTTTCTCCAGTGTTGCTGGAGCTTTGAAACATGGGTGACATCTTGACTTAGCAGAGCTCTTCATACATTCTGGATTCGCCTAGACAGCAAACTGGTCTGCGACTGCAGCCTCAAGGTTAACCTGTTACTATGGAAACAAGTCAGCCAATAAAAAAACAGCAGACGGTTGCCATGTTGACTGCACCCTTTTTGTTTTAAGGATGACCTATTTTTTTTTCCAGAGCAAGTCAGATGCAAGCTTGTGACACTCTCACACCTAAACACACAGGGACACAGTAAGAGAGTTAGGAAAGCAGGTTACACTTTTACAAACACGAGTTCATATGTTCTGGTAGAGGATTTGAATTAAATTAAAAAAAATCCTATGACCTCCTCCATCTGTTTGTAATGTAATCTTACTGTGAAATGCGATGAGATTTTGCCTCAATGGAGGGGAATTCTTAAATACCATACCATGACAGTGAGGCAGTTGTCATAGGAACAGCATGTACCACAGTGAAAGGCTGATGTGACTGCAGCTTCAATGGCTAATTAGGGTAAACAAAGAACTTTAATGCAATCCCTCATCTACCTGAGCGTATAAACTAATCAAAGCCAGTTTAATCAGAGCCTAATCATATCCAGATTTAGAATGAGAAATGTCCTCTGGAATATTTGCTGAACCTTTTGCATTGATGCCTACAGACATCACAAAATGCAAATCTAACACAGGGGCACATCTGTTTCTTTTCTAAGTCAGTAAGTCGGAGGAGCAAGACTTGCCTATGCGAGATCTCACGTCTGTGAACATCTTTGTTGCTGTAAAAATCCATTGTTCTTTTTAAATAACCGTATTAATACTGAACTAAGAAATATTTAATTCAGGTTTAGTTCCTCTTTTGCCATTTATTTGTCCCCAGAGACAGAAATATTTACTGTAAACAAATCTGCAGGTTCTTACAGGTAACAAAAAATTAAAAAAAATTCATTCATTTAATTTTTTTTTCTGAACAAGCAAAACACCTGAAATATGATTAAAATGAGAATTTAAATGCATCTTGGTATGAGTGATCAGATCAGATTTCATGTTTTTCACATTCTTCACCTTTGCTGGTTCATAGCCCTCACTTAACTGTGGTACTTGCAAATAAATATTGCATATTCTACCCTTTCTGATTTTTATAGCTGTTGTCTGCGACAGATATGTTCAGATATCTCAGATAGAGGTACTGCACTCATGAAAAAGCCTTAGAGAAACATCCATTACTGAAATCTTGTGCATGGTTTTTGTGTTGTTACTCTGACAACCAGTGTGGATGTACAATGATCATATAAATCCAAAGTTCTGTCATGAAACTCTAGATGGCACAGTCCGATATGTTTATTCATAATGACATCATCACATGGTACAGCTGATTGGTTCTTTTTGTATCAGCAGCCAATGAGCTTGCTGCTCAACATTGAAATACTTGGCTTGTGCTTGCTGTAGCAATTGCAGCACGCTTCAGATACACTTCACCTTCCCCAGCTCCACCTGCTATGGGGTAATTCAGGTATGCTATATATGGGGGCTATTTCATATATGTTATATGTGCAGCAGCAGTATTTCTTACATGCTCACAGCAGCATGTTGTGTTTCGGTACTTGCTCTGCCGCAGCAGCATATCAGATCTATTCCACCAAGACCAAAAACATTAACATTGTCATGTACATTACCATGCCAAACCCTCCGAGAGTTGTCATGATAGAACTATCTTAGCACTACACGTGTTTACCAAAAAAAAGGTTCCTGTAAGTGTCCACCACAATCTCAAGGCAATTCATAAGTATTTCAGACTATAACTCATATGAATTCTTACAATCTCATTCTTACGTTTTCATACAATCTGCTTACATCATTGATAATTAGGTTTAGAGGTTGGGTTGGGGCAAACCTTCATGCTTTTTTCAAAAGTGTACGTTTTCATACAGATCACATCATACAAATTTGGATGTAATTGCCACCTTGTAAAATTGTAAAATTTTTCTGTGAGATCGGATTGTCTGAGCACTTAGTGGTTAGAGAATGAATAAATGGCTTATTGCGAGCGATAAAACACTATGTAAATGGTATATGCTTTGTGTTTTTTGAAGTGCTACTTTATTTAAAAAAGTATAAACTTGAACCGACATTTTATGAATAGTCATTTTGATATAAAAACATTACAATCTTTTGCACATTAGTACTTAATTACACAGCTTTAATACACACCACCCTGTTGTTTGATAAGCAAACACACGACATTAGCTGCCACACTAAACTCAACTGGTCTTTGAGATACACAGTATAGCTAAAATGATGTGGAAAACAAAAAAATCCCAAAGCACATAATCAAAACTCACAGATACTGC